TATCAATATCATCACAAGATAATAAAATTTCATCAATCATCCGAGAATTACGCTTACTCAACAACAATGTATCGCAACTAAATGAACATATTGTTCAATTGAATTATGACATTACTCACATAAAGAAATTGATGATCGCAACATTTGTAAGTTAAATATGTTAATAATGTAATAGAATTAAATACTTTTTCTTTTAGATAATTGCAATAGTGTTGCATGGAATTTGATTGATTACAGCCAAATACTATTGTGATAAATATAACTGTTTCTGATAGGTTTTTGTTTTTCAAAAAAATTGTAACACACAGAAATTATTTAGAATAAATAAATCATATCTTTATCTGAATGAACATATGAATAAAATACTTTGATTATTTGATAAGCTAAGATAAATAATAGACGCACCAACTTGTAATCAGAATATTTGAACAAAAAAGATTAGAGTTGGTTTTGATTTTTAAATCAAAATAAAATCGATATATTTTTTCATGTCCAATTGTGAGTTTTACTCTATAAGTCATTACTTATCAACGGTTTAAAATTATTCTAAGTTTTCGAAGGATATTTTATATTTACTTTTTGTTGTTCTTGTCGACGTTTCCTATACAATTCATGATTACTTGTTGCTAACTCAAGTACTTAAAGAAATGAATATATTTCAATGTTTTGTTTGTAGAAAAGATCATTTAATATACTATACCTCTATGTTCATAAATGACTTTCCAGCATAGAATCCAAATGTTACCTGTTTAACACTAGTTAGGTTTGAAAACAGCCTAAAGAAAATTTTTTAAAATATCGACTACTCTTTATTTTTTATTACCATGATCAGTATTCATTTATTCGAATACTATACGAATAGTTGTTGAAGCTACTTTTTTTTTGTTTTTTTACAAATATAAACTTTTCTTTTTCAGAAAAAATAAAATTTTAATTTCTAGAACAAATATTGTCAGCCATGCATAAAATAATAGACAAATCACTTCAAAAGTCATATGTCTCATGAGATGAGAATGTGGCGGAATTTAATTTTTGACTATTTCAAAAACCAGAATAAATGGTTATGACCTTTTTTTCTGACTCAGTTTTTGCTTAGATTTACCTTGAAAGTCAAGGATTCTTGAAAAAAAAAACGTCTATTTTTTAGCAAAATACTGAAACGCAGAGTTTTTCAATGTTAAAATTTTAAAAATTCTCTTCATTGCCCGAAAGACTTCCGGAGGGTGTATAATCTTCTCTTCATCTTGTGAAATTTTTCATGTGGATGGTTTTCTGTTATAGAATGACTTTTTATTTTAGGGAAGTTAGATTGTCTCACAACTTATTTGTTCGTTTTTCTTTTACATGAGCCAAGTTTAAAATAGTGTACAGGCGAACAACAAACTTTTACTTTTTGGTGTCAGTAACAATGTTTTATGCAACATGCTTTTTATTTATAGTTGCTTGTCGATCTACAAACATGAAACATACTATCTTCAATTAATGTAATTTCTCTTAAATCAACTAAATCTTCAAATACTAAAATAATATTATATATGGACAAACTTGGATTCTTTCTTTTATCCAAGGCGAAATCGGAATTCTGATTTTGATTGTTACATAAATTCAAGTTGCAAAGAAAAAAAATCATCCGAAATTAATACGTTTTTATTGTGTCAGTTGTTTGACGAAAATGAAATCTAGGTTTCTTTATATTATCTGTGGGACAACAATGTCAGAATCATTTTTGTGTGTGGGTATGGGCATGAATATTGTCTTAAATTAAATCAACTAACACCTACCCACATCATGTTTCTCAAATGACTTTTATTAATTAAATTTTTGTTTGGGATGAGTGTGATTTTTAGATTCTACACAACGCAATAATTAATTTGACAATCAATCTTGTAGAAGAATGCTGAACAATTTTTATCATTTTAAGTCTAACAAAAAAGGTCTATAAAATTGCTAGAAATTGAAATATAATATCATAATTATAAGCGTCATGAACTTCGAGACTATGGAATGGATTTAAGAGTACTCCATCTTCTATCAACTTGTTCTGATTCTCAAAGGCAATTGGGAAAATCAAACTGAAATTTTCACCACAGATAGGGCACCAAAAATAAGAAAACATGTGTTCGAGGAAACAATTCTGAAATGAATTTTCGCTGAGAAACTAGCTCTTCATATGGTCGCGTCCTGGTTGCTTGTCACTCCTATCAAGTTTTATCCGATTGAGCTCAAGATTCTTTTGGAGATACATAAGACTAAATTGCACAGGTAATTGTAAACTTTGCCAAATATCTCAATTCTTTTTTTAGTTTATGGAAGGAATACGTAAAGACTCGAAGCCAAAATTTTGATCTTGCTTTTCAAAATCGTGTGAAATCGGCTAGAAAAGTCAAAAACGAAACGAGTCTGTTTTGTTCCTGGAGAATACTTCCAACTATCAATTACAAATAGTTAAATTGCAAGGAAGAGAAAATGAACCACATCACCTATCATATCTATTCATAGTAATATTCATCAAATGTCATTTTTCATCATATGATCGATTTTGTACACGTTATTTTATTGTTTTTCTTTAATTAGGGTGTGGGTGTTGTTTTATTCTACAACAAAACACCCATACGCACGCCCACACCCTTATGTCCTCGGCTCTTCTATGGTTAGATGGCGACATAAACTTTCAAGCGTTGAGCGAGAAAAACATAAATCTTTTTTGAAATAAAGGCAATTCAGATAAGTCAAGGTCAATTAACGTTATTGCTACTTTGTCGGATTTATCCGTTTTGATGTTTTTTTTTACCACAAAATATGAAGAAAAGAATAATATATTTGTGCAATATTTATACGAATAAAACATAATATCAATATCAACTATGTCAAATAATTTTCATATTATCTAATTATAAAATAAATGATATACAATAGTATGAATAAAGTAACTGATTATAGCTACAAATACACGAAAAAGACGAGTATAATAAATTATTAGAAAAAAAAAAAACTAATGAAGAGCTTTTAATATATTCGGACAGACTAAGTCAATAAGAGCTAAAGTTGACCAATAGACTTTTAAAAGATGCATCATTATGCATTTAAGATATATATTTGGATTAATATGACGTTTGATTAGAGTTCGGCAGTTTCTAGGAAACTGGAATCATTTACCTTCAGATATATAGAAAATTTTTGAAATCTGAATCGAAATAATTTCATTTGTTCATATTTGATATAAAAGATTTTAGTGCATATGAATGATGTGGTTGTCTTTAAGTATTGAAATATCTGGCGTCGTTAGTCTCAATAAGTCAATAGTACAAATTTCTTAAAATGTACTCAAAATTTTTGTATCTCTCTGGTAATTTAACGGTTCCGATTTCGAATAATTGTTGGAATCACCAAAGGCTACCCGCAATCGTGGAAAAAAAAGAGTTTTATCATTTGACTTTATTCGTTGATGATGTGTTAAGATAAGTAGAATAAATATTAATGTTTTCACATTTTTTTTGAAAATGTCCTGTCTTTGAATGTAAACTTGACAAATCTTTCTATGTCAGCAACATACATTTCTCGAGAAGTCCATTATATAATTTTTTTTTTCGCTTGTTTTATGTATATGATAAATTGTTTGCTGTTCGTATATAAGTAGAATGAATGATGATGATGTATCGTTTATGATTTATTACTAATAAAGTAAAATTCTATTGAACTCAAAAATAAATTGATACATGTTATTCTATATGGGTAAACACATGCAGGCTGGTACGATGTAAAAAAAATCAAAAAGAAGTCATCTGATATGTAAGAAAAGAATGTTTTTTCTGTGTTTTGTTTATGTTATAACAAAGTTGATAAGAGCATAATGACCTTGTGTTATGATAGAAGATTAGATGGTTTCATATGGATGTTATATTTACAAATATCAACTAGATCAAATGTTCGATGTCAACAAGTGACATAACTCAATGATAGACTACATCAAAACTAGGATGAGTACTTTTGATCATATTCAAATATTTCCGATTATTATTCCTTTGCAATTTGAATTAAATCCATGCCTAGTAGACTTGTTTTAGATTATGCATATGAATATTCTGTTCACTGAAACTGAACCGAACATTCTTTCGAAAAAAGTTACGATTCCAATTATTCAAGAAGTAGAAGAAAAAATATGAATCATACGCAAGTATTATTTGTTCTTTTATCATATTAATCAGTAATATGTCTTCACGCGCATATATATAATTATTTATTTTTTTGTGTCGCCAAGACCTTAGTTACTGTTTCTCTTTTTATTTGTTGAGTTTTTTCTCTGATTATCTGCATATACATGCAAAATAGACTTCAAACTAGGAGTGTTTCGATGTTGCAAATATTGGGAGAGTTCGAAGGCTATTTTGCTAGAATATGTGAGCAAAAAAAAAACAATAAAATGCTAAACTCCATTTACATAAAAATAGAAATTCTTCAAAATTTTGGAACTCGAGGAGCTGTTTTTCAAGAGTCTTTCCTTAAGATACTTTCAACTGCATTTATTAATATAGAAATCGGTGTTTAAGAACACTTACAAACATTGCTTCCTCTGCTCGCTAAACATGTTAAACATAAAAATAGAATTCGTTATTTTGTGTCTGCTTTACATTGTTTCACAATGTATGTGAATAAAAAATACAACAAACTTTATTATGTCGATGTTTTTCTTTCAATATTTTGCTCTTTTTGATACTGTAAGTTTTTATGTTTGTTGATAAATACAAAAAATGATATATTTTTTGTGCTTATTCATGCACATGATTGGTAAAATAATTGTCTCATGTCGATTTTCAAGGCTACATTGAGGACAGTTTTGAGTAAATATATTTATAATTGCTTATGTTTGCATAAGAGGGCACAATATCAGCCACTACACGCTTGTTATAAGAAAAGAACGCAAGAAAAATCGATTCAGTTCTATATAAATATAACAGCATGTATTCATTTATTTAGAGTATTCGACAAAAGCAAAAATCAAGATGGCTGACGCTCGATTTTGTTATAAGTCAGTAACGGATAAAGATTTGGAATTGTTCAACAAGGTAAAACAATATATTCATTTTCTTTTATGGATTTTCTCTATTGGTACATCAATTCTTTTAGTATAAGAATTCTATTGATAGCAAAATTCGAAAAAAACATCCATCAGTTCCAGCTAATTTTGAGCTGAAACCAGTGCTTGTTCGTCATATCGCAGCCTGTGGCACGATTCATGATTTCAAAGTACAAAAAAATCATTCGATATTGTATTGACCACTTCTTTCATATTAATATTTTAGATCGCTCTACCCGATAACAAATTCGTCAAAATTTCCTTTCTTACAGGTGCAATGCAGATGTACCCGCCAGGTGAAAAGCCACCCGAACACCCACCAGAACCCAAAATCAATGTTGATGATACATTAACATCAACAGCTGATGAATAATATGCTCTTTCTTTTGATTCATAATCGTCTTTTCATAGACTATTCCATTTTATTCTAACTTTGCGACTTAAACTTACCGTAAATATTGCATGATAATGTAGGAAAAAGTGAGTCCTTAGAGTTCCAGTAAAAATCAAATAAATATGAAAAAAAGAAATCGTTCATCAGATTAAATCGACAAATTACCAAACTGAAACAAATATTGCTACGTTGTGGCTCGATGACAAGTTTGCATTTCTCGAACAATATTATAAATTAAACATTAAATATCATAATTGGTATATCTGATGGAACTTCGAATATCGTGTTTCTTGAAAAACAATTAGAGCAACGAAAGAAGGCAAAAGCAGCAGAATTTCAGATTACAAGATTTACAAAATTTGTGAAATACTCGAAGAGATGGAATGAATGAATCTCCAAAACAGTAGCATATCAATATTAGTCATGTAGGAGTCTTTTCACTGCTATGAAATCCTGTATGTTCATAAACTAATGGTTGAAAAGTTTCTTCATACAGTGTCATTAAGAGTTAGTCTTATAAAGCACACTAGTGATGAATAAATTTTGTAATTGAAGGTTCTGGAACAAAAAAAGTATAGATTAAACACGGAGAATGTGCCTTTTTAAACATCATGAATACTTTTAATATTCTATTTATAGAATAATTTTATCCATAACACTTGTGAAAAAGTGTCTGTGCATTATGACGATAGTTTTGGCTGCTAGTTTCACATAAAGACAAATTGTGATGCCGCTTATTATCAGATAGCTTAAAAAGGTATTCTAAATCTTCTCTACGAACGCTGTTTTTTCTATAAATTTTCATTTCAAATTGCATTAGAAGCAATTAAATATTATGCGAAGTAGTTAAGATAGTCATCTAACTAAGTATTATCCAGATGTAGGTGTAAGTCCTACATCCATTCAAACTCAGACTCTGTTCTTCAATCAAGATAATGAAACATTTGAATCTTCCCAGCCGATTAAGGATAATTTTTTTTCATAAATAACAAAATCAATATAACGTTCTTGTTGTTTAACAAGTGAGTCTCTCAAAAAGATGCCATCATTATCATTCATCATAACAAAAATCTCAACAATTTATTATCAATCTTACAGGTATCAATTTTTCCTTTCCAAGGATAAATTTCTAGCTTATTCGAGATTATCTTTGAATAGAGAAGATCAAGACAAGTGTTCAATATTAATTCTTTCCATGATAAATTCTTTTTTATAAATAGCAAATTTTTTGCTTGAATGTCCTTTGTTACCAATTATTTGAACTTATTTTTCTATTGTCTACAAATGTAAAACCAAAGTGAGGCATTCACAATATTAAAAAAAAACCAGAACGATCTTACTAATTTATTTTGGAAAGTAGAAGTAAGACGATCTCAATTTTGCATAATCATGCAGCTTCTAATTCTCAAGTTTATTCGATATATGACTAGTCATTTCGTTGTTGCGGATACCTTCCATAAAGAACTCATTAGATTAATTCAAAGAAGAAGAAAAGATTCAGTGATCACGATAATGATATAAAAAAGCGCTGGTCAACGCAGTTCCGTTAGTGAGATCAACATACGTTCATGGTACTCATAATGCTATATACCTATTACCTGAAGGTTTCAGATGAACGAAACAAATATAATATTATTTTAAAGTTTTTTTTTTCTTAAAGACAATGTCATACCTCCGTTTATTCTTCGTATAACCTGCTGAACCCAGGATATTGACACAAAAGCTCCAAACAAACTATTTTCCTATTGCATAGTTTTTCAACCAACAATAATATGTAATTCTCGATCGTTCCAAAACTGATTAACAACTTGTTTTTGTGATTCTCAACACGAGTATTACAAGCCAAACATTTCTTTATGATATACTATTATTTCAAAGAGAAAAAGCTTTTTCTAAACGATAGACTCATTATCATGCCTGGTGTTTCACAAATAAAAAGTTGAATTAGGATGATTTACAAAGCATTCTGATAAATACTGAATGTATTTAACAAATTGTAATTTTTCATTGTATGTTTAGGTCTGGGTATGTGTGTGTGGGTTTCAAGTGTTTATTATTTTCTACTACATTAGATAATATATAATTAGAATCTACACGATAAATAGAATACTAACATTTACGGCAAACTATATCATTTGTGTTAATATTGTATTCAGCATCTTGCTACAATTGTTTTAATTATTATTTAAATTTATTTAGTTCTCTTTCTATTTTTCAATGTACATTGAAATAATCATGTTTTGAATGAATATTCTTCATTGTAGGAATATCGATGGAAAACATTTGATAATAAATAATAATTAAAACCAAACAAATTAATAATATTATCCACTTATTCTGTTTCATTAAATAACCAAGTGGTTGTTGTTACTAAAAATAAGTAATTAGGCTTTCTTTTTCGTTCTGTCAAAGACAAAGGAAAAATTCGTTCTCTGTCTCCCTATTTCATTCCTAAACATTTCTCGCTTACCATTTTATCGAATATTTTCTTTTTATTTTTCTCATTTGAAATGACATTCATAGCATCCAAGTACGATAACATAATGAAATAAATTATTCAATCTAGAAGAACAATTAATAGAAAAGAAGAGGAAAAAAGTTTTTCAATATAAAATTAATAAACAAAATTAAATTTCTTTTTTTCGTCAAAAAAAGTATATTTTGCGTTATCCCTTATATAAGGACCACTTCAGGCGAAAAACGGCATGCTTATCTTTCATTTGACTTTGACTCTTTATAAAGCTTCTATTTTTTTGATAAGTTCTTTTAGCATAGACAGATGAGAAAAAATTCGAAGACCTTAGGATAGATTGTGACTTGAAGTAGATCTATAATGAAATTCCAGTAAGGCCAGATTCGAAAAAACTTCCTCTTAAAAACTGATTTTTAAAAGATTCTGAAGAAGGATTTGTAAAGTTTGGAATAACTTTTTTGAACTTCTCATTCAGTTATAGAAGAATTCTTTTTCATTTGTATATTCGTATTTCGTCACATCGTTAACGAAAAATCTAGGCATAACCAAAAAACAAAACTTTGAATAGAAAATTTTTACTCTCAGAGGTTCTCTATAGAATTTACAGTTTTGCTTCCAGAAATACTCTCTCAATTCAGAGTTTGTTTAAACTAAAATGGATGCAGTGAAAGTTGATGTCCTTTTTTGTGTCACATGGACAGCACTGATTTGTGGGTGTGGGTGTGGGTGTCGATGTTGGGTGGATGTCTTCTATTTTAACCACACCCACAATCACAACCCACACCCACCCACACCCTAGCTGCATCGTCTTTCACATTTTTAATCCTGCAAGGGATTGCGCTAACAGTTTTCTCAGTTTACAGATAACATATTAGAATAACAAGTCTGAACGATATACATGAGCTCCACATTTCAACTCTTTTGAAACTGTGCTAACAAGCTTTTGGTGAAAATCATCGTATAGACATTAAAAGAGACTCGATAACTATTAATACTGGAATAGAATGTTACAAAAGGGTGTGTGCATAGGTTATTGGCGATAAAACGATTTCAGTCTAAGGTAGGCTTAACTTTCCAGCCGAACCAGGCCGAAAAATTATGCTCTTTATTTGTTTATAATAGTAAGCGCTATATGTTTTCTTACTAGATTTTAATTCTGTATCAGTGTCAGAACTCTAATGTTTTATTGTTTCAAAACAAAACAGAAAATAACTAATTAAAAAAGAAGTGCTGCTTAAAAAGCCAATAAAGGACACTATTGAACACCAAATTATTTTTTCTGTTGACCCTTGGACAAAATCTGAAATGATACTTTTCACATCAAGTAAATCTCATTTTTATTTATGAATATGGATGTGGCAATGGGATAGAAGAAGTCTCTGACGACAGTCACACCCTATTGTTTGAATACTAGTACTGTTTTTAATAAAAATATCTATTAGTGGGAAAATTTTTATCGATGCGCCGTGTTTGTTTTGGCTATCGAGTGTTTAAATTGCCTTTTGGATTTATTTTTTATCATAAGAACATCATCAGTATATCTACAAGATTGTCATACGATTATATTTTTCTATCGAAGTGTCTTATTTTGAAGAGCATTTGACCAAAATCTTTCCAACGCAACCCTTTCTGGATCAATTCAAGTAGAGTCTGGTATTTTAATTGATCCATGAGCTACATCCAATGGCGTAATTTTTGACTCGTTCATTTGCATTATCATTCAGAGCACGTGTCTACTGTCTCTTATCTCAGGTGAGATTCAGAACGCAAAAGTAAATATATGCCTGAAGAGATAAAATCGTAGTAAGCGACTTAATTGCTCCACTTACTTCAACATAGAAAGAACAAAACTGAGTGGTTATCGACATCGCAATATGTATCACCAATGAATCACGTGCTATATAAAATAAAATAAAATCTTTGTAATTTCAGTGCCATTGATGACTCCAAAAGCTTGATTTCATAATTTTTATCATCAGGCAGAATTTGACCAACATAATTATAATTGGCAGGCGAAAGGGTCCAATAGACGTAGATCAACGCATCTTGCCTTTCGCCTTATTGCTTATTATACGCATGATGATATCTCATATATATAACTAAAGGATAAATAGAGAGCACGTATTCTTGTTTACTGCTTGCTTGTTTTTTTCTACAATGACGACAGACGAAACAACCGAAAATTCAATGCTTCTCAATGATTTTCATCTAAGTGCAGATGATCTGAGTGATGAAGCTAAACAACGATTTTCTTTTTACATCGACATTCAAAACAGTCTCGATTTCTTTGGTCACACTGTTTTAAAAAATGAAAGTCTCACCGCCGGTGGACGACACATTTTATGCTCTCGGATCGTTCAAAGTTATAGAACTGTGAAAAATATACTGAACTATTTGGCTACGGTACCATCACAATCAAAAGAAGAAGTCAATTATGTACCAATGGTTGTCATATGTGGCCTACCTCGTACTGGTACAACACTGTTGTATAACTTGATGGCTTGCG